ATATATCCTAAAGAAGTGAGAGCCATGACAAGAACAGACATATGCACACCCATGTTAATCACAGCACTATTTACAATAGCCAAAAGATGGAAACAACATGGGTGTCCATCAACTGAGGAATGGATAACCAAACTATGGTACATACACACAGTGGAATACTATGAAACCCTAAAGAATAACCTAGAATCCGGAAAACACTGCATAACGTCAATGAACTTGGAGGACATTATGCTGAGTGAAATAAGTCAATCACAGAAGGACAAATATTGTTACTCCATTATTGTAAAAGTCAAGGAAAGGTTTATGTATGGAAGGAAATTTTCTTTGTTTGTTACCAGGGGTGGGAGGGAAGATGAGGGAACACTATTAGATAGGTAGAGATAAGTATTGATTTGGGTGACGAGAAGGCAACGTACCAAACATGAGTGATCAACATGGTGGCTCTGAGGAAGAGGAATGCATAAAGAGGTACATGGGAGGTACAGACAACACAGATGAACCCTTTTGCACATAGAGTACTGCATTGTCAGTGAAGGCAAATATGGGTATATGGGTAGACAGATGGGTGGACAGGCTGAACTATTAGGTATGACTATGAAGTGGGGAGTGTACCCAAGACCATGTATAGGGTTCCAGACAATGGTCCTATAAGCATATTTGTATGATCTGAATTCCCAGGTATATAGTAGGGCTGACAAGGGACAAGGTTGTAGTCCCTTCTGGTCACAGCCAGCTACCCAGAGGGACCGAGTAGTTGAACCTGTGGGCTTGGCACCATAGTCACAGGGGACATCAAGCTCAAATGGCATAACACACTACAAAAAATATTGTTCCAACTCATACTTTGGCGAGTAGTGACTGGGATCTTAAAAGCCTGCAAGCTGCCATCTAGATGCAATGATGGGTCTCTCCTTGTCCAGAGCAAAGAAGAATGAAGAAAACTAAAGATTCATGGAAATAATTAATCCTAGCGACTGGTACACCATTTGATCCACAGCCTATATGACTATGAGACCAGAAGAACTAGTGGTGCCTGGCAACCACTGTCAACCACTCAGAGGGGGATCTATGCAGGAGATCCTGGATAGAGAGGGAGAACAATGTGGAACAAAACTCAAAATCATTTGCGAAAAAAAAAGGGGGAGCAGGTTTGCTGGTCTA